ATAATACATTCTCCGGATATAAATCAATTAAATTAAACTGAAATACTACAAAATAAAATGAAATAAAATAAACTAAAACTAAGTAGAATAAAGTAGATCGAGTGGAATAAATAAAATGAAATAAAACAAATTAGAATTACTCAAATAAAATCATAAAAAACAAAATAAATGTTAATTAGAATGAGTTCGTGTATAATCAGACATCATTAAATAGAATGAGTCCGTATGTAGTCAGACATCTGCAAGTAGAGTGAGTCTGTATGCGACAGAAATTCTTAAGTAGAATGACTCACCTGTATGGCCAGACCATAATGTAACAGCAATACTTGAAATAGACCCAAAAATAACTGTTAAAATAATTTAGATTACGGTTCTAATTGAAACAGTTGCAATATCGGTTTTAATTATATTTTAATTATATTTTATATTATAATTTTGTAATATAATTATCTCAGCCCATGCTTCGATCTATTGAGTAGAATTTTCTCTCTACACAGATTTCGAAAGTTAAATAGAACGTAGCAAGTGAGCTGACAGTCTAATTTCGAAAATACAATTGTAAAAGTTCATTAATTAATTCCCTAAATAAGATTTTTTTGCAATTAAAAATGACTCTATTGAAAGAAAAGAAAGACCATAGGTTCTTGCAATTAAAAATTGCGGTTTATGGGCATTAAAATACTAGCGCCGCGTAGCGGTGAAAAATTGGAACTAAAATCTGTTGTTATCCTTGTTGCACACTATTGCTCTTCTTGTTTGATATGCGATATGTATCTGTCCTTATTGGATACTATTGCTTTCCTTGTCTACGGAACGTGCTGCCATCTAGCGGAAACAAGAGAAATTATATCTATGTTACCGATATAATGACTCAGATGGCAGCACTGTCCATAAACAAGGAGCGCAATAATGTGCAACAAGGACAGATATATATATATATATATCGCGCGAATATAAAATTATAATAATTAAATTATAATAATTAAATACTAAAAGATAAATACTATTAAAATATATTACGACGAATACGATATAAAACTCCATCATATAAAACTTCATTTTAAAATGTAGGATAAGAATGAAATGTAGGATTCTATGAGATGTGAAATTTATTTCGTATTCCGTCTGTAGTTTGAATCTCCTATCAACAGTTTAAAGATTCTCCAGGACGAAGCAGCAGCTTCAAGAAACATATTTTGAAAATTTGTTGAAAATGTTCTATGTCTGTGTAATTAAAGGACTTGCAATAGTAAAAGTTCCGACTGAATGAATCAAAAGGAATCTTGGTATATAGGAATTCATTGTCGACAATTTTTCTACGTGTGACAGAATGTAATAACTTAGATATAACGAATTGGACGAATGGTTTACATCATTGATATTTTTACAAATAACACACAATTCTGATATCTTGTTTAAATTAAGCAACAAGGGACATAATTTATTTTAATAATCGTTAGAGGAGAACGTAACCTAAATTTTATCACCGTTGACATTGAATCAAGTTACACGAGATGGACAAGTCAATTTTGATGCAAAAGCAAGTGAGGGACAATGCAGAGGATTTGCAAAAGGAATTTCTAGACATGAAGAATTGGGAAGAACAAATGAAACACAAGGATGAACAATTGCGGAAAGAAACAAGTGGTCAGGTACTGATTATAATCATACTATGCATTTATCGGAACGTTGAAATTCACTGATTATTTTTTGCAGATTATCTTACCGCCGATTAGAAGAAAGCACAAAAACAAAACGAAGAGTGTTATAAAAAAAGATGAAAGCAATACTGAAATGAAAAGAATTAAATCGTACGATTATTCCGCTTGGGATAAATTTGATGTAGTAAGTTTCCTATGGTGTTATTGAATTGAACGTGTTTGTAAAGTTTCAATGTTTTATTTGTAACGTTACTTCACAAGGATAAAGCTTGTAAAGAAGTGGATAAAGAAGAACAATTGGATGAATCTGAGGATGAACATATGTCCAAAGAGGAATTGAAGAAAGCACATGAAGAAGCGACAGAGCATAAAAATAAGGGCAATATTTTTGTACAGCAACAAAAGTGGTTAGAAGCAATTGGCTGCTACAATAAAGCTATAAAACTATTCCCATATGATGCGGTTTTTTATGCAAATCGTGCACTGTGTCAGTTAAAACTAAACAAGTATGTATATATATATATGTTTCTTAATTATATGTATACATTAAATTTAAGATTGCGAGACAACATTGACTTTTTTTAGCTTCTATGCCGCTGAATCTGATTCTTCTGCTGCAATTCAGTTAGATGACAATTATGTGAAAGCTTACCACAGAAGGGCCACAGCCAGAATGAATATAAAACAATATAAAGAAGCTAAACGAGATTTGGAGACAGTTTTGAAATTAGAACCTTCTAATAAAGAAGCCAACTTGTTGCTAGATCAAATTGAGAACAAGCTTAAATGTTCAGAGGTGATGAATAATTGAGAAACGATGTTTATTATTTAATTAAAATTAAACTGTTATTACTTAACAGTGGCACTTTGTACAGGCAAGCACTACAGCGAAAAAAGATACACAGCAGTCAACGATTGAAAAAAAAGGTACTAAGGAGCCAATTGAAAAAAAGATTGCTGATCAAATGTGGAGCAATAGTGCATCAAAAGTACAAAGCATGGGAACTAAGGATATTATAAAGCCTAAACATATAAAGGAAAATAAGGTTATCACGAATGTTAAAGATAGTATAGAAAATACAAAAGATGATGTGGGCGATACCAATATAAAAAAGAAAAGAGATCTGCGTATTCCAGATTGGTTGCCAGAGAAGAATGAAGTTACTGTAATAGAACCAATAGAGAAACCTCCTCATTTGCGTTCAAAGGTAAGATTACAACATCAAATATGTACCATATTCCTGAATATCTGGAGTATTTATTAATTACAGAAACTATTGACAAAAATACCTATCCAAGAATTGGAATTTGGTATAGATCAGTACAAATATACTAATGACAAAATAGTAGGAAACAAAGGTAATCTTGTACAGAAAAAAGATCGTGTACAGGAAGAAGAATCTAGTAAAAATTCTGTACAGATAGAAGAATTTAATAAAAAAATTATACAAATGGAAGGACAGAAAGAAGAACTTTGTAAAAACCCAGTACTAGAATTTCATAAAGAAAATAGTTGTGTCAAAGTTTCTGATCCTTCGAAAGATATTGGCTTTATATCACCAATACCTAAAACAGCTGTACAGTTTCTAATGAATTGGAAAAAAAATAACTCATTGGAATTCAGATATAAATATTTGAAGGTAAGAATGATGTTTGAAAATTAGGATTTTTAAATGTATATAGTTTAATTTAAAATTTCAGCAATTACCAGAGAACAGTTTACCTAAAATATTTCAAGATTCAATGGAGTCAGATATTTTTAGTCAAATAATAGAAATTTTGAGCATAGAATTCATAAAAAGGAAAGATCAAATATTCTGTTACTTGAAAGATCTCAGTCAGGTTAAGCGATTTAGAGCACTTATTATGTTTATTACTAATAATGACAAAAAAAGTAAGTATTATTGTGGAAAATTAAAAATAATGTAAAATATTAACAATTCTTTTTAATTTTTAGATTTAATAACTCTTTTTGAATATTGCAAAACAGTCGAAAACGTGTCTCAAGATGAAATTTCAATTCTGAAAGATAAATATGAAATTTAGAAATAAATTTATATTTTTAAATAATATAATACTTAAGTTATATATATTTTGTACAAATGTTCCTATTTGAACAAGTATGAATAAAGAAATAAGAATTATTAGAACTATCTTTTAATTATTTATACTATATTACATTTTGCATTACACACTGTGTTTTCATATGTACAATATTTAACTGTAAATTTAAAAAAAATTATACATTTACATTAATTACATTAAAGATAACGGAAAAATATCATTTTGTAGATAATGAAATTTAAACAGAAATTTAAATATGACCATTTAATAATGTTTGTATCCTTTGATCATTCTTCATAATCTGTGATTTTGCTTGACATATTTTATCCAATTGTAGTTTCATGTTATGATCAATCTCTTTTAATGTTTCTTTCATAGGTTCTATTAATTCTAGCGTTTTCCTGAGAAAAGAATCATATACAGAATATATAATTTTAAATGACGCAAATAAATTAATATGACTTACATTTTTTCTACTTTTAATTGTTCATTTACTTGTTGATATTGATTTTTCCAGTCTAATAATTCTTTTTGCATAATCTCTACATCCTCCTATAAAGACAATATGAGTGATGTACGTAGTATAATGGAATATAATGAATTAATAAATTACCTGAAAATAATCAAATAACTTTCCAAGTGGATTTGTTGCACGTGTTAACGTTTGTATCGTATTTCGTAATTTATCAATTTCTTTCGTTATCATGTCACGTTTCGAATTTGTATCCCATGTCTAATAATGAACATTTAATAATCATTTTATATGTATATATACAACAGCAGTGTAATATGTTGAAAACAATAAATTATTATTTATTATTATTTATTATATACTTACAATATTTGTTTTCTTGGGTATTACATCAACATTATCATTATTAATCAATTCCTTTTGTGTTTCTAATATTTGAGCAACAAGATGTCCATGTTCTTGCGTTAATTGATCATCAGCTTTATAGTTGTCATTAGTTTCTAAAAAATCACTACCACTTCCTTTTGTTTCCATAACTACCATGTCTTCAGCATCATCATCATCCTTAAGATCAGAATTTTCCACAATGACACTAATATTTCCCATGGGTGTTCTAGAAAATGAGGTACAAATATTTTATATTTTCCATAAAATGCTTTGCATTCAACTATTCAAAAATGATCTAACAGTATTTCTTCATTAATTATTAATTCTGCTTTGCCTCGTATCCTAGGTGCTGCAGGTCTGGCACTAATTGGTCTTGCAGTTGGTGGACGTAAAGAAGTTTTTGGTCTAGAATTTGATTGTGGAATATTGAAAATGTTTTACTAAGTTATTATTAAATATTGGAAGTATTAACTTTCTATAAGAAATCTAAGATGAATAATACCTAGCATCATTATTTTCTGATTGCAACTTTTGTGTCTCTGACATTGACTCATCAGATTTTTCTATGTTTTTTAAAGGAATTTCATTATTTATCATAGTATTTTCCTTGTATCCCACTTTGTCTGTGTTTTCATCAATCTTATTATCTTTGGTGTTTGATGCAGATTTAGATTCTGAATTAATAAGGTTTGATGTATTAAGTATTTGATTTTGGACCTCATTATTTTCAGTATTTGCTGCATTTTTTGATTTGTTTTCAGTTTCCTTTTGTTTTTTATTTTCATCAGTTTTCTTATCTGACTGCAAGAAAGTTTCAGACAAAGTTGTGGAAGATGTATTTTGTTTAGGTTTAACAGATGAAGATCTTTTTCTGTGTGCAGATGGAGGAATTTTCTCTTGGGTTAACTAAAAGATATAAATTTATCTAAATTCTTTTGTTCATAATTTAAGATATACTAAGACATGTTAAATTACCTCAGTTTGTGGTGCTTCTGTAATTTCACTTCTTTGAGGCTCTTGATTTTCATTTTTACGCGTTTCTTCGTTTATCGTTGTACTTTCATTAGCAACTTTCTTCTTTTGCTCTGTAGATTTCTCTTTTGATGTTGAAGCTTTCTTTTGGGATGTTTCTTTTGACGATGATCTTTTTTCATCTTTTGCTACAGACAATTTACTTCTTGAACTAGACTTACCTTTTCCTAAATTTTTTTTATATTGTTCAATAGCTTCTGCACTATTTATCTGTTCAATCCATATCAAGTATTATAATTTTTGCTGCACTAATTTCTTTCCTGCTGATTTGTAAATATCTATTGATATTACCTTCTTGTCTAAAGCTTTTCCAATTGCTTGTAATAGTTCATTTGTTTTAGTTGGTTCCTGGCCTGAGATTATCTTACTGGCACGTACAGTTAAATTAATTCCAGTAGCTAATTCTAAAATTATTGTCCGATTCACTTGAGTACGAAGAATATTATATTTTTTTATATAATACAAGTAAAGAAAATTACAACTTACTCACGACGTCGATCAGTTTTGTCAAATAAGCAAGTTTCGCCTCTTTGTTTTTTATATTTTCTGAATTCAGTTCTTCCTCCGTATACAAACCATTTAAGAAACCAGTTTCATTTATGACCTACGATATCATTCATTTATTATTATAGTTTGTAGAGAAAGATGATTATATTCGTGTTTTATTTACAGTTAGAAATATGAGCGAATGATACATCACCGCCGAAACAATATCGTGGAGAAACCGAAACGGTGGTTTCCTTAATAATTTCTCTGTGAGGGGTGGTTTCTTGAAATACTTCCCAAGTAAATCTTGCGTCTTTTTAATTGTTTCTGGTTTAACGTCCTCTGCCATTGTTAATTACAAATGAAACGTATCACCAATTACACATGTACATTGCTTACAATCTAGCTGAACTTTGTGTTGCATTAGATGGTTGCTTGGCAACCAGTATATGACTGTATGACTAACAGATATAGCGTAGGATGGAGTTGTAGGTGAGTAATATAATTCTCTAAATACTATACGAAAATTCAATTTTATAATTATTTAGGTTTAAAAGCAATCACTTGAAGATTAAGCTACTAAAATCCACCCTTTTCTCGAAATATTCCCATTGCTCGTCATCGAAATGCTTGAAAGTTATTTGAAAGAACAATCGTCAAGCGATATTTATTTCTAGAGTCGCATCTCCACAACTTCCATCCAGATGTTGTTTAGTTTGAGGATGTCCTCGATCTAAGAGTAACAGTGCTGCAAAACTTGGAGACTCGTACAGTTCGTACAATATATACGTATAGTTCGTAGAATAGCGGTTAAATCGGCGGACGTCAAGGCGTTTTATAGTGCATTAATTAGTCCGCGATGAGAAGGCGGATAAGAACGTTTTTACAACGTTGTAAATGCAAAATAGGGATAGGGGGGGGGGGTTCGTTCGCAAGATCTGCGAACGACGATCTGCCATTTAATTTCACCTTCTTTTTACGGTAAGCGTTCACGTCGTATTTTACAAGGTATACATACGGCGTATCCACGTGTGTGACACTCACAACCTGAACCGTTTATGGCTTTACCACATCCTCGCACATCCGCAGTCTCGCGTTACCGATGTGTGCTTTATTGCCATCGCTTTATTAGGCTTTCCTTTAATTGCTCTGTTCTATCGGTCTTCAGCTTCGCATACTTTCCTTAGTTATGAGTCTATCGACTTCTTTTTTCATTCCAGATTAGAATCACTTTACGATGTAACATTTGGTAGGTGAGATTCTTCTCTCTGATGGATCATTCTTGATCGAATTGACGTCCTCTTCAGTTCGCATTGTTGAAGATGTTCGAAGCTGATTCGATTGGTTAAATTACTGCGAACATGAATGGACGTTTTGTCGAGGAGAGTGTTTGCTTTTTGGCTAGATAGATCTTCTTTGATGAATTGTTGAACAATTGCGATGAATAACAAAAAGAAATTCTCTCTTATAAAATTGTAACAGAAAATGTAATTATGTTGTATTGTAATAAATATATGTGTACCGAGTATTGATGTAATCTGTGAATTATAAAGGAAATTGTTAAGGTTACTAGCCATTTCACTTTATTAGAATACGTCAAAATTCCTTTGACTAAATTAAAATTAAATATCGTACATAATAATATGGCATCGTCCCGCTCGCAAAACGAAATCGTACCACACACAAATTACACGACAGAAAAATCTCAATATTCAAAGATTGCGAAACTGATCCTGCTGAAAATCATTAAAACTCGTAAAACACTTACATCGATATGTTTTTTTTTTTTTTTTTTTTTTTTAGATCGTATTTCATCGTCTCGTTATTACGCACATATCGATGATTTTTCTCCCTTCTTTGAAAAGATATATCATCGACAAGTGTGTCAGACGCGGAAGAATGATTGATGAAAATAATTTAATTATAAATTAGCTTAATAGACTTACGTTTAACCTACGATATTGCAGTCAACAATACATAATCGACGGTTCATACTAATGTTACATATAATTTATACTTTTTTTTTCTCTCTGTCGGTAGTACAACGACGATCGCTTTAATTTTCGAGATTTTCGCACATCGATAAAAGCTGTACTAATTTTATCATTTTCT